AAATATCGTCAAATAATCGAGATCTCAATTTCAGTGAAAATAATCGTGATTATCATTTTTGCCATAATTGAGCAGCCCTAACTGTGAGGCAATTGCTGCTGCCTATCTTGGCCAATTTTTAATCTCAATGTGATCTTCCTGGTTAAATAAAGGTTAAATACAAAAATTAAATAACAAATAAACAGGCCTCAGCATCTGAGAAAGGTGGAAGTGATGTCAACACAGTTGCCCAAACTGACAAATTAATTAAAAGGGGTTAAATGACCTGTAACTGTTTGTTTTTTAAAAATTTTTTGTTTGTTTGTTTTAGAAATGAAATTGTTTTAAAAATTTGCTTTATTTTGATTGTGCATTAAAAAAACAGCCTTACCACAACACCCAATTATTGTGGTGCTTTTCTTTGGAACAAGCCGCCTGCTAACCTGAGACAACATGCATGTGTGCCTGGAAAATCCTTCACAACATACATGTGCCATCGTTACTGCCGACAAGATCAAAGCGACTCCTGCCTGGAGCACCGCGAGTTTTGATGTGACTTTTTTTTGTCACGTGAAAGCTGCTTTGTTGCCACGGCTGTTCAGATTTGTGCTCTAAAACATTTAATGAGTGAGACATTGTCTTTCCAGGTCTCTCTATATGAAAATAAAGGCATAATAAACACACTGAATACCCCCCCAAAAAACTCCTAGTTAATTATGGTGTAATAATGCACATAAATAAACAAACAAGAAAGAACCTATGTGTTACTTCATGCCTGAACAGCCTTACTTGGTGTGTTACGCTCTTATTGTTGCACTTCTCATTATTATTTTTTATTGTACTTGTGTTCTTGAGCTCGAGGGAATTTAAGGCGCCGGAGCATCCAGTTGAAGTTACTCAAAATATATGTGTCAACTAGCGAATGCCTAAAATATAATGCGATAAATGTTACTCAAATTCTCTCTGAATTATGACAGCGAAACTCACCCTAAGCAAATAAAGTATCATAGAAGGTACAAACAACATATTTGTTACTGTCTTTTCAGCTGTGCAAAACGAGAGGAAAGATACCACCCCCACTTCCCTCCAAGCTCAAAGTGTCTTAGACAGCAGACTCCCTTTGAGAGTGAAGCGGGCCTGACATCTCCCAGTGTTTCCCCAACAGATCAAGCCTTTCAACGCGCTTAGACTTTAAGCGGACGCCTCTAGCCGTCGGGGCGTTCAGTCGGCTAGTTTTCCACAAACAGCCCCCATCCACTAACGCCACACACAAGCACAAAGAATCCCAGGCAGTTTAAGAAGAGCGGCATGCACACATTCATGCTAATGGGAACAGACAGCGGTTAGTCAGAGACAAAGTGAATCACAAAATATGGAGCATGGCTGTTTCACAAAATAAATACATTTGGGCTATGGATATCACGGCGCAGAACAGCTCAGAAGCAAGCAGTGTAAGGGCCAGGAGGGACTTGTAGTCCTAACATCAAACAGCTGATGATTTTCTCTTCTTCTCTCCTCTCCTCCCTCTTCTCCTCTGGATTAACTGTGGATTATCAGACACTCTATTGTTAATTAAAAACCTGCCATCCTGGGGAGACTACTGCTATTTATAACTAACCATCCTCTTCTCGCTCTCTTCTTCCTCTCTGACTCTCAGCTGACATCAGGTGGCAAGTTAAGAAAATTAAGCATAGCTGGGAAATTATTTTTGGGGCTTCTAATGTTTTATTAAATAGTGTACACAAGAGACTCTGTATAATGAAGTGAAAGAGAACATTTGGCAAAAGTAATTAACTGAATGGATTAAAATAAAGCATAGCAAAATTGCCCATAAACTGTATTCTAAATAACCCAGCAGTGTCTCTAATAACGACTGCTCACATGTGCATCAATTGAATCTACAGTGAAATTCCAGATGGGTACAGTTAAGTGCCTGCTACGGAGATCACTCTTCTTTGGTGTTTGCTACCTCTCTCGCTCACTTTCCCGGCACCTTCCTCACCCCTCTTCCTCATCTTCAACAAGAAATGTTGAGGTTCGACAAGCACAGCCACCAGAAGGTTCTGGCAAAGAGCACTTGTGCAGCGCCATTGAGATGGGCCGGCTGTTTGAGTCATCCAGTCAGACAAATGGGGCCAAACTGGCAAGCATGGATGCTACTGCTGCGAGGGGGGGTAGTCACAGTGTGGGAGGTGCGCATGCATGCGTGTGTGCACAAGTTGGTATGGAAATATGGGTAAGCACACATGTGAGTGAGTAATAGATGACACTTTTACAACAAACCCACCACTATATTTACTTTGATTACACCTCTGAAGACTGTGGTTTTCAGCAGCTGCTACTATATGTAAATGATATTTGCGTGTGTTTGCATTTTAATTGGGTGTGTATGTTGCATACGAGCTCAGGCTGGTGTTGGCATATCCTCCCGCCCCCACTTGCGTCTTCACTCCTTCTTTGGCAAGGTTAAGGGCCTCTGGGGCCGGAAGGAAGAGGGTGGGAACGAGACTCGCTGGCTGGCATCTTTCCCCAGGTGAACAAGGAAAGGAGGGTAGACAGAGGGAGACATCTGCCTGCAGCATCAGAAAATCTCCAGGAGGGGATTCCACCCACCGTTTCCAGCTTGCTAAGGAGCAGCTAACAGCAGGGAGCTGGCGGCAAACTGCCTGGCTGCCTGGAATTTGCACGGATTGGCAGAAGATGCACCACACTGGCAGATGTACATACATGTGCACACATCTAAACGTATAATCGCTCAATCACCACAAACAAACGCAGGTAGTAAAGTACGACTTCATGCCAGGACAGTAATACGTGGAGTGGTGGGTGGCTAGCGGGTAAGCACGCCATTGCTGTTGCATTTTCTT